TGTTTTGAGAAGGTTCTAACTGCTAATTTACTATAATTTTGAGAAACATAGTTTCACTTCAAAGTTATAATTTTCTATAATTCGAATATTTTGTTACTTAGACTAACAATTTTGTTCGTGTATTATTTTGATGCAGTGAAATTAAATCCGCATTCGTTGATGACTTATTTGTACCATTATTTTTTTTTTTTTTTTTTTTTTTGTTTATCTGCTTCCATCCTAAAATAACTCTATATAAAGGCCGTTTATTTGTTGAATTTTTCATGTTTCATGCATTAAGCATAATGTATGTATATATTTATAATAAATAAATAATAAAATTTACATGTATCTTATAATTTTTTTAATTACTTCATGTATGGTAAACTTCATAATTTTCTTGATCGAACAACAGGGAAAAATAAAAAATAGGTATAGAGAAAACAAAACAAAAATATTAAAATAAAAGAATATCTATGATAAAATCAGACTTAGTAATAATTAGTTAGACTTCTTCGAGTTGAAGATCAACTTCAATAGTAAATTTACGCATCTCCTTATTGTAGTTCCTTAAAATGTCCTCTTCCTTCAATTATCACAATTATCTTCGTTTAGAATTATATCTCTTATTAGGTGGTACCCTTTACAGTCGAAAATAATTATACCACTTATTAATATTATCATTATTTTTCTGATATCTTAATTTGGCCATTAAAAAGAAAACAATTTCTCTAAAATGTGTTCTTTTTCTTTTCAAGGAGGATACGTAGAATAGAAAAGCCGAATTAAATAGAAGTATTTTTAACAAATTGAAATATTAAATTACTTTATTATTTTTAATGATGTAGAGTTGGTTGACCGTTGATATGATATGAGAAGGAATTAGTCGAGGGTGCGGTCAAAAAAAATATGTTTTTTTGACCGCACCCTCGACTAATTCCTTCTCATTTATTATTTTTAAGTTTAACGAAATAAAGATTATTTATTTCAGAAGCAATACTATACTTTTAAATCATTGCTCATGAGGTTATAACTAAGGAAAAAAATAAAACAGCAGAAATATGTTTTTTTGCATAAACAATACAAGAGTAAAAGTTTCAAAAACATATTTCGATCATCTAATGGTATATGCATTACTAAAATCTGGTATAAATAATGTAAAATTTGTTTATCTATCTATATATTTTTAGATTATTCTTCTGTAATTTTAGTTTAATAAAGTTTTTTCTAAATAGTCGATAAACGATTCAAATATATTATACACATAGAAAAGATCTTTAATAATAATGTAAATGATATAATTTCAATTTAACTCTCATTAAAATAACTATAAATCAAGTACCGTGTAAAGTATTGCAGTTAGAATCTTCTCAAATCAATTACTTTCAAAAGTTGGCAGTAGTTAGGACTATGTCACACTTCTTTATTTTTCGCCTAATGACAATAAAATTCATTTGGAACATAAATGATGTTCGGAGTGGTTTCGGAGTGAAAACCCAATTTTGTTAGAACCTTTTCGAACCAAGGCTACGAGTAGTATTTACTGGATTTATGAGCCATTTATTATTACAATGATAATATAGAATAATATTTCTAATAAGAGGGATTTCCTCGCTTAAAAATATACTGAAACCAAGACAGGAAGGTAAGCTGCTGGGCACTCATCTCCCTCACGCTGATCAAGCCACTAACAGTGTTCTTCCCGAAACCAGACTCGCTAATTGTCAGTACTTCTAACAGATTTGGGTGAAGAAATGAAGCTTAAAAAATATTCCTAGTAAAAAATAAAATAGTTACTTCTTTAGTTGATGAAAAATGAAACATTAAAACTTATTACAAGTATGTATGCAATACCTACTTTAAAAAATAAATTAATACGTCAAAAAGGGAAAATAAAAACAATAACAAAACATTTTATCTTAAACGAAACAAACAAAATTTTTTGTAAATTTCTAATTACATCTTTATAATCGGTGGGTTTGTCGTATTATATGTTTGACCAATTTAAAAGTTTTAAATAAATTAATGTTGTAGCTATTTTTATGGAATACTAAAATATAAATCGCCTTTAAATCATTTTTAGAAAGATTGAGGAGAGATGTCATACAATGAACATAGTTTATAACTGTATTGTATGCAGTTGCTTAGGAAATACAATAGGCCAAGTTCTTGACGAGAAAACGCTTCTTATAAATGTCTAAATATCTATCTTATAAATTGTTTTTATTATTGCTTTAATTGTTATGATAAATATCATAGTTAATAAATAATGTATTCACGACAATCATGAAAACGATAACTTGCCGAATGAGGTAAGAAATCAGCTCACTTCAAGCTATTCCAAGAAAGACCAATCTAGAATTTGTGCCAACACAATTTACAGATCTCCTCTCCACAAACAAATGTTAAACAGTTTTATTTTTTTAAGTTCTCCAATCCGGCTCTTTTTAAACCGTCTACTGTTCGTTAAATAATTGGTCTTCTCTTCCACCAATTTTTTTTAGATGTGTATGGTTTGTTTTTTTTAATGTGATTATGTAATATTTCATTACTATAGTTATGTTAATTGTTAGGCTATGTTTGATGATGAACATATATATATATATATATATATATATATATATATATATATATATATACAAATTCTCTGTACTGTATTTAATTCGGGTCGTAAAAGATCCATCATCCAACGCGTTTTCAATAATGTACTAGTTTTCTAATAATGTGTAGTCTTGTCCACGTATAAACATATTTGGATTTTCATCAAACATATACGATTGAACTCTGAAGAAATTTATGGATATATTTGATTAATTTATTAATTTAGTTCATATTCTACACGATATATAGAATAAATGGATGCTGTAATTGATGTTACTGATTTGTTCAGCAACAAATGTATCTGATTAAAGTGTTTGGTAACTAACATAGTGTGTCCGAATATTTTGGAATAAAAAATCTTCAAATCCTAATGCATATTTTAGTTAATATTGTTGAGTTTCTGCGAAATTGTTAAAGTCCTTCCCTATCCAAAAACCTAAATGATCATTTGTTGTGAATTTGGCCTGAAATATCAACTCCTTGCTTCCCTAAATACACTAAGTCCAAGTGAAGCGATTGAGAGAGTAGTGCAGGGATCTCCTGAAGTCATGCTTTACCCTCTACAGTTGAAGGGACAAGTCAGGCTCGGAGTTCCCTCGCCTGATTGTAAATAATAGGTATGTATGTGTTGTTTTTTTAAATCTATTTTATTCTGATTTATTGTATACATAAATTATTTCTCTGTTTAACTTATTTTTATTTATTCTACATAGAGTGCGAATGTGATCTCTGAACACTATTATAAATGTCCTTTGAGGCAGGTTGTAATATTTCTCAATAAACAAGTTCTAAAGAAAAGAAAATCCCTAGTTCGATTCCCGTTCCCTAAGGTTTCTGAAAAGAAGATGGATACGAAATCTCCTAAATTAGACTTTATTATCCATGTTTTATATTATTATATCTCATTTGATTTTCTATTTTCATATATAGCTGTGAATTAGAAAAAATATACATACATAAATAGTAAAAAATAAAATACGTTGTGTGCTTAAGACCACACGAAACAAGTGAAAACATCAAGGCATGATTATTAAGGTGAATTATAATTTTTTTTTTGTTCTATATTGAAAAAGTAATAACGTTTAAAATATATACAATTGCAATTGTTTATAATATTTATTTATCGGTACTTATTTTTTTAATAAAACTTCTGTAACAGAGGTCATAAATTTGCCGAAACATGAGTGCAACAGAAGATCGAATAGAAACACTTAGTTTTTTATTTCTTATTTTTAAGGCTAATCAAAAAAAAAATAATATATATATATATATATATATATATATATATATATATATATAAATATATATATATATATATTGACACCTCCTAAATGGTTTCTGAATTCTCCATGGTATTTAAATGTTGAGATATTTTAGTCCAACTGTTCAAAACAGTAGTTATTATTCTGTTTTTTTAGCGCATTGTCCCTCTCCGACTCTTAACTCGTCACATCATAATAATATTTTGAATTATAGCTCATAACTAAGCGGATGAAATCCTGAAAATTTCCCTCACTTGTGCAGGTCCGATTTTTAGCTTCTGAGATATTTTAATCCAAATGCGAAAATTAGTCGATTCGAGCCGACATTGCCCGAATGAGCGTTACATAGCCTGACGGATCATTCAGTACCCACAAAGTATAGTGCTAAGGGTGCCTAAAGAAGTTTTCACTTTACAAAAATACATTTTAATATTTCATATCACTGTAATATATGTACTATTAAAATTTTAAACGAAATGTGTATATCATTTATCGCCACATTTTGCTCTGACTTCTGTTGACTTATAACTTTTTTTTTTTTTGTTTATTGATAAATATTACAATCTGTCTCAATAAAGGACATTTATAATAGAGTTCTGAGAGCACATTCACACCATATTTACAAATTAAAAAAAAATAATAATAAAAAAAATAAGCTAACTTCAAATAATATAAAGCTACAAAAGAACAAAATAAAATATCATAGTGAGAAAAAAAAAAAAAGTAATGAAAATAAACATCTTAGACGCAGGCATACCTATTTACATTATTTACAGTCGGCCATAGGAACTCCGAACCATACTTATCCCCCCACACGTGGAGGGAAAGCAAGGCTTCAGGAGATCCCTGCGCTTCTTCCTCAACCATTTCACTGGCATTGAAAGCCAGCGGAGATTAAGTAAGGGCGCTACAGCCACGGACACTCATGACTTGAGTGGAGAATCTGGTCACTGCCAGAACTCCAGTATATACATGGACTTGTAACTAACTGTTGATTCTGTAATCATTTCTAGTTGACAAATGTTGTTTCAAAACTACCTAAAGAATAAAATAAATATATTTTTAACTAAATATATATATATATATAAATCTATAAAAAAAAATAAAAAAAATTGTAAGCAACTAATAGACGAAAGGTAAAGTTTATTTAGTACTCACTGAGTGGCTGTACCGTGACCGGGCTAGAGCAGCACTGATCCAGCAAGAGAGAAGAGACCTCCCCTCCACGGAAGATCTTGCGGCCACTTGCGGGCCCCCTCCAACCTCACGGTCTCGTGGAGTCTCCAGCAGCTTTCCAAAGCTGCTCTGCCTGCTTAAGATATTCGAAGGCAAAAATGAGTATATAAAAGGATTAAAAACAAAAATACTGTCAAAAACAAAAATGTTCTATACACTTTTATAATAACCTTGAAAATGCCTCAAAATGACAAAAATGTTGATTTAATAGCTTTCTTAACTGCTTCTAGTTCAATGGACACCAAAGTTGGCATCGGGGCACACTTTTCAATCGGAATTCCTTTGAGAGAAGGGATATTGATTGGAGGAGGAGGCGGCAGTTGGCTGAGGATCGAAAGTTATACATTCAGCTTTACAAGAAGGTTTCTCACACCGCTCAGCGATAGAAGATACAATTTCGAATAATAGCTCATTATAAAGAGGGTGTTGAGAATTTCTCTTCGAAAATGTATGTCTTAAGAAATCTTGAGCATTTCTCTTGCTTAAAGTATGCGATTTCAATTATTAATTTCTGAGATATTTTTGTCTATATCCGAAAACACTTCAATTAGTCGACTCAAGCCAACTTTACCCGAATGAGCGTTACACATCCGAGCATGACGGCTTAGTTTCATTCACTCCGCACAAAACATCTTTAAGTGTTTCAGTTTCAAAGAAAGAAATACATTAAAATATTCAGTACATATGTACTATTATACAATTATTACTTAAATATTCTGATTTAATATTTATGTAACTGACTAGAATTTTCTTCCTGATTTTTAAAATAACCCTATTTGTTCGGTTGAAAAGCTGGAGAAAATTTTAGACATATGCCACGAAAAAACCTCACCGAAGCATCTATAAACGTACTTTAATACCAAAAAAAAATAAAAAAACAGGATACCATTCAAACAGATTGGTATCATTATATCTACTTAAACAATTAACCGTTTAGCTTGGACAGACTTCCGGACAATTGGACAATACATCTTCCGCTATATTATACACGACCTTCAGAAAACATTTCTATAGCTTTGGATTTTTTTAGTTAATTTTAAATTCTTGCACCAATTTCTCTGCTGCGCATCTACTACGGAGATGAAGACATAAATTTAACTTTAAAATAGTAATCCACTTATTAATCCAGTTATGATAAAAATAAATGAAATGGGATTCAACCGTCAAAGACTACAAGAATGAGTTACCCCTATAGTATCATCGATGTAGTGGAAATCCGTCCTTAGTCCAACCTTTTGTTGGATATCTAAATATTTTATTTCATATATTAAAACTAGCATTTTTCTTACTAATAGGGATCTTCTAATTTGTAAATTTTATTAAAACTAATGGATTCACAGCCTGCAAAATTAACGAAAGATTCCTTATATTTCAAGAATATGTCTATTATTTTCTAATATACTGCTATGTATCGATTTGTTTTTGTAGATTTCTATAACGGGATGCCAGAATTAATTTATAAAATATTCATTAAACAAATTATGTCATTTGACATATTGGTCCTTGATTAATTTATTGGAATACTTCTCACAAAGGCTTGTTGTGTGTTTATCTGTTCTCTAATTACTAAACATTACCTGTGATTTTAATGATATCAATAGGTGGCATGATTAAAATATCTTTTATGTACATATTATGTTTATTTACAAATTATATAATAAAGACTGTTATATACATTATATTTACAAAAATTAATGAACTAAACACTTGGTTGTGAAGGCATGATTCAGATGGATAGAATTTAAAATTTATATTGTCATTCAATATTTGAACATCTTTAAAGAAATTGTTGGGAATTACTTATCTAATATGTTATTTGAAGTGGTGGATGGCATGGCTGCATCTGCGAAGTCATGGGTCATGTTTCAGTCCTCCAGCTAGAAGAAAACATCAGGGACCTCCTCAGGGCCGGGCAGCTACATCAGATATATCTTCTATGCCGGGCAGTCCATCCGACATCTCCCATATCAGCCTCTCCTCATCCAGCTGTCCTCAGCCGAGTTCCAAAAAGAAGTGTCTTAGTCCTAGTCCTATATTTCCCATCTTTCTTCATCCCCCTCTCTTTTGGTAGTCTTTTCTGATTGGCTGAATTTTCCTAGCCTAAGGGATGACCACGCCCTCTCTCCCAGGCCAAGGTATTCCACTAACCAGATATATTTTAAGTATTTCTGGTGGAAGGTGTGAAATGTATTTCTGGAAGGTGTTAATGGTAATTTGGATCCTGTTTAAACACTCAGCCGTGAGACTGTTGTCGGTCTCTTGGGGTTCTTAAGGATTTCTATTACCACTTACTAAAGGTTGGGTCGGGGATCTGAGGTACCCGCCCAGGTGTTAGAAATTATTTTTAAATATTATTAATCAATATTAGGCTATGTTCAATACATAGCAATACAATCGAGTAATATTAAGTCATGAATAGTAGATTAACATGGTTGACGGAGTAAACGGTTTTACAATTTGTATTGATTTTGATAACTTTTATAGAGTTTTAATTATTGGTCCATCTTCTTTTGTTCCATCCTCATCGTGCCTCTTTGTGTAGAGGAGCCTCTATCCATCCAAACAAGTTTCCTCGGTTCCGTAACAGTAATTCAATTCATTGGAGATTTCACGTTCTACTATTATTGTTAGTGCTGAGCATCATTTGTGATTAGGTATAGATGAGTCAATCAAGGGGTTGGGACATTGAATGCATAAATATCGATACTCTACATTTTCTTTCTTGCCGGGTTCGAGTCTGGCTGTGGCAGGTAATTGTTTATCCTATTATATCAGTCCTGGATCGATACAGAGTTTGGGGTATCTACAGGGGTACAACCAGCATCTTTGCTCCTTATCAAATAATTGATTTAGGATGAAAACATAACAGTTGAGCGTGGTTTTGGTCAAATCATGCTACTTGCAGTATCGTTGATCTGGAAACAGTATTAAGTAATGAACCTCAGACAATACATGGATAGTAGCAGTACCTTATATTACACGTAAATAATCGTTTTATGTTTTACTGTTATTATTTAAAAAATAGAGAACTTCGTGCTCAGATTAGACTTCGGATCATGAAAACTGTTCCCACCTCTTTTTTCCCTTGTCCCTCCCTGCCTCCAGGATGTACTGTGCTCATCCATGCCTGTCACATGTCTGTGAGGACACCATCCTGCCAGCGTGATCTGGGTCTTGTCCTACCTAGCGTGATCATGTGTGCTTTTAGAGGGCATCTATAGTCTTCCATCCTGATGACGTGTCCAATCCATTAGGCTCTATTAGATGCTGATGATCTACATCCTATTTCAGGTTCCTCTTCCACCCTTTCTGTGACTGTCCAAGTATGCAGGTCCAAATATTAGAAATGTGGAACAATTTCAAAAGTATAATCCCCTATTCTAACTTGTTGTCGTGTGGCTACATCATGTATCCTTACGCACAATATTTCTTTTTACATCAAGTTCCATATTTTTCGATTCTTGTTCTATCTTGTAAAGGGCTTCTTCCACTGAAGTTTGTGATCTCCCAACTATTGCGATATCATCTGCATACGTTAGTATTAGTACCATTATGGTAAATATTGTATCGGCATGGTTAGTCTTGTACCGCTAACATATCGGTAATCGATAATTTATATTGTTTCAGAACGAGGCACGACTATTTACAGACCTACTTAAATGAATTAGAATGGATAGAACGTGCCCACTCTTCAACGATGGTGAGATGGATGGTAACCACCTGGACACGTGCCCCACCCTTGCGATATAGGGGGAAGAAAAGTATCAATGAGAATTATTGAATGTTTTCTGAAGGTCGTGTATAATATAGCGGAAGATGTATTGTCCAATTGTCCGGAAGTCTGTCCAAGCTAAACGGTTAATTGTTTAAGTAGATATAATGATACCAATCTGTTTAAATGGTACCCTGTTTTTTTTGGGGGGGGAGGGGGGAGGGGTTTGGTATTAAAGTACGTTTATGGATGCTTCGGTGAGGTTTTTTTCATGGCATGTGTCTGACATTTTCTCCAGCTTTTCAACCGAACAAATAGGGTTATTTTAAAAATCAGGAAGAAAATTCTAGTCAGTTACATAAATATTAAATCAGAATATTTAAGTAATAATTGTATAATATTACTTATAATTGTATAATATCATGCTCGGATGTGTAACGCTCATTCGGGTAAAGTTGGCTTGAGTCGACTAATTGAAGTGTTTTCGGATATAGGCAAAAATATCTCAGAAATTAATAATTGAAATCGTATACTTTAAGCAAGAGAAATGCTCAACATTTCTTAAGAGATACATTTTCGAAGAGAAATTCCCAACATCCTCTTTATAATGAGCTATTATTCGAAATTGTATCTTTACGTGACGCCGTGTCAGAAAGACGAAAAGGGGGTGTCGAAAACCAAATGATATCCAGTTTTATTAAAGATATGAATTAAAATATCTCTTATTCTTCTTCTTAATCGTTTCCTCTTCTACCGCTGAGCGGTGTGAGAAACCTTCTTGTAAAGCCGAATCCATAACTTTCGATCCTCAACCAACTGCCGCCTCCTCCTCCAATCAATATCCCTTCTGTCAAAGGAATTCCGATTGAAAAGTGTGCCCCGATGCCAACTTTGGTGTCCATTAAACTAGGAGCTGTTAAGAAAGCTATTAAATCAACATCAATGGATACATCGCCGAGGCTAGATGGAGTTCTGATGCATACAATAAAATATTTTGACGTATCGAACATAATCAAAACGTTTGCAGAGATAATGATGAAGGTGGTCTATGTCCCAGAACCAACACAATATTACAGGGGCACACAATATTAATATATATGAATGAGAAAAGGTGACATAAAGAATATCTTGACCTGGAGAAAGATCACCATCTATTCCATTGTGCGCCGAATCATAGAGAAGGTTCTGGACCACGAATTAAGAAAGCAGGTCAGCCCCCACAGGAATCAGAGAGGATTTATAAACGGTCTCCCGGGAACGTACGTCAAGGATTATCGACGCTATATTAAAAGATGAAAAATGTGCGGGATTATTCCTTGACGTTCTTTTGACAGTGTTGGCCACAATCATATCGTGAGCTC